ATATATGCATCAACAAGTTGAATGAATGTGATAAAAGGACCACCTCTATAATAAATAAATGTCTGCTAAAGGAGTCGGATACAATGTTTTTCATCCCTCTCCCTCCGCAATCCCTTTCTGTCTGTTGGTTTATCTGAGAAGACGTTGGAGAATAAGTTGTATTGCTGAGACTTGGGTCAAATTAAAGTCCTGCTTTCTGGTAAAAAATGGTGATGGCATCTGACCGTTGTCAAAGTTAGATGGTATGGGCCTCCCCAGAATGAGGATATGGAGGCAGATTTCTGTGGGAAAAATTGCAGAAATGTTCGACGTTACTGTGTTTTAAACATTTTGCAGCAGATTCTAACAAATGCTTCATGGAATATACTTCCTATCTAGAGCTCTTCAGATGGTTGTACTTCTTACTGTTTTTGTTTTTCTCACTTCTCTCTCCCTAGGCAGTGAGTTGTAGTAGGACATTTATAATTTGTTCTTACGGCTAGTTGAGTAGCATTTTGACCTTCTTGGTTCCCTGTCCTCTATACTTCTCCACCCAGGTCGTCTTTCATTAAGAACATTATATTTTGCTGTAGTGTTATTCTGTGTATCCTCAAATATTTGAAATGAAACACACTATCTATATTTGGTATGCTTTTCTTTTACTTGACTTTTAGTTATATTTAGACAGATATGTTCCTCATTATCCTCCGTAACATTTAGGTTGTAGTGATTTCTGGTGAGACCGGATGTGGTAAGACCACCCAACTTCCTCAGTATATTTTGGAGTCAGAAATAGAGTCTGGTCGGGGAGCATTTTGCAGCATAATATGTACACAGCCTCGAAGAATATCAGCCATGACAGTTTCAGAACGAGTTTCTTCTGAGAGGGGAGAACCTCTTGGTGAATCAGTACGCCTGCTTCCTGTCTTATCCTTTCCTGTTGTTTAAGTTTCTGAAATTAATGAGCCAAACTAGGTAATTGAGGAAAGTGCAATTTTTATACTTCTTTATTATGGTCACTGTCTTTCAACAGAGACTTTCTTGATAGGTTGGCTATAAAGTACGATTGGAGGGAATGAAAGGCAAGAATACACATTTGCTCTTTTGTACCAGTGGAATTTTGCTCCGTAGGCTATTGAGTGATAGAAATCTGGATGGTATAACTCATGTGTTTGTTGATGAAATCCACGAGCGTGGCATGAATGAAGGTGAGTACAGAGATATGCTCTTAGATCTCTACTTACAATGTTTCATATTGTCACATGACTCTTGACATGCCATTGCCCTCCTTTATCAGATTTCTTGTTGATTGTCTTGAAGGATCTTCTTCCTCGTCGCCGGGATTTAAGATTGATTCTGATGAGTGCCACGTTGAATGCCGATCTATTTTCTGGTTATTTTGGTGGAGCACCTATGATCCACATTCCAGTAAGTTGGAGTTAAAAACCATATAAAATTTGTTGTTCTTGTCGTATGTGTCTATTTTTTTTTTTTTTTAAGGTACAGCTATGTAGGAACCTTTGCTATTCTGGATGCAGTTTCAATCCTTAAAAATCTTAATATGCAATTAAAGTAAATCTAAAATGGGTTGTATAAAGTTTCTCTGACTGAGCTAGATTCTTTTCTGCCATTTGGTAGATTCTTTATTTCTTCTTCTACCTTTTGTTTTGAGTAGTTAGCCTTTTTCTATTTGTATGTCAAACTTAATTTCTTAATGCTATTGAGCATTCTCGACTCTTGAGTCCCCAAAAGGTTGAACGTTTGTATTTTATTATCTTATTGGCATTCTTTGTTTGTTCACATGTGTTCACATGTGTTTATTCTACTATTATGGAGTCTTAAGTACTATATAATGAGAGTCTGTTATGTTGATGCAGGGCTTCACTTACCCTGTAAGAGCCCTTTTCCTGGAAGATATACTCGAAATAACGGGGTATAGATTGACTTCATTCAATCAAATAGATGATTATGGCCAAGAGAAGATGTGGAAAACGCAGAGACAATTAGCTCCTCGAAAAAGGAAAAATCAAATCACTACTCTTGTTGAGGTGGGCACCTGTTGCTGAAATGTGCTCAGTATTAGATTGCTGATAATGCTCTTTGATTCTTTTGTGGTTTGGTTACTTTAATTAATTACGTAGTATGTAGAATTTTTATTGTTCAGGAAATATGCAACATAGATATATCATGTATTCTTAATTATTATTGTTAGAATACAAATGACCTACTCAGTGTCAAAAAAGAGGGCGGGGCAGGGCACCATCTATACTCGAAGTGCTAGGTCCGATTAATATATAATGATTGTGAGATTGTGATTGTATAAATGGAAGGAACCCAGTGATATTCAAACAAACTATAGACTTCCACATCATCATTCTCTCTCTCTCTCTCTCTCTCTCTCTCTCTCTCTCTCTCTCTCTCTCTTTTGTTTTTTTTTGGTTCTTTGCATTTTCTTTAATGAAATAGGGTTTTCGTCTATCAGATCTATATGCTCTACTGTTTATTCAGTTCTGTTGGTTCCCCATCTTTCTGTTTAAATGTTCTTCGTAATGTAATTTGTTAGAACATGTTACAGTTATGTAGCACCATTCATCTAGTAACAATGCAGGAAAATTTGTTTATGCTATGTGTTTTATTGACAGGAAGCTCTGACTAAATCAAATTTTGGGAGTTATAGCTCTAAGGTGCACGAGTCATTGTCGTCCTGGACACCTGATGGTATTGGGTTTAATCTCATTGAGGCTGTATTGTGCTATATATGTCGCAAAGAACGCCCTGGTGCAGTGTTGGTATTCATGACAGGGTGGGAGGATATTAGTTGTTTGAGAGATCAACTAAAAGCTCACCCTCTCTTAGGTGACCCTAATAGGGTCCTGCTGCTTACATGCCATGGCTCAATGGCCACCTCTGAACAGGTAGGACATTTTTCTAATTACATAAACATTGTATGTTACTGCACATTTTTTGGCATCCATTTTACCCTGCCGTTTCCGTTCTTCTTGTTTAAGTTATACATTCGTTATCTCAATGTTAGACTAGGAAGAAAGCTAGAACTTAGATAATATTCCAGGGTGGTGGAGTTCTAACTTGTTATATATTTAATCACTCAGATAACTATTCTAATTCTTTACCCACTTTCTTAAGCAATAATAGTCATGGTGGTGGAGCTTACATAATTCAGAGATTCAAAGCTTTCTTTCATGGAGCTGTATCCAATAATCAGTTTTAAATATTCATTACTAGTATAGCTTCAGTCTTTTGATTGAAAGTTACCCTGGTGACCATCTTAAAATTTTGCATGTGACAGAAACTCATATTTGAGAAACCACCGCCTAATGTTCGCAAAATTGTACTTGCAACAAATATGGCTGAGGCAAGTATCACAATCAATGACATAGTTTTTGTTGTGGACTGTGGAAAAGCTAAGGAGACTACTTATGATGCGCTAAATAATACACCGTGTTTGCTACCTTCATGGATATCCCAAGCATCTGCTCGTCAGGTGCGTTTTTGTTTGTGATAACTATTTGTTGTTTTCTGGCACCTATATATTGCAGAAAAAATTAGTTGCAGTCTTCACGAGGTATCACAAGTGTTGTTTTCTACTTAACGCTTTATGGCACCATTTTAGTAATGTAAAGCTTTCATAAGAGTTGATAGCTTTTTTTCGCTCTTAATGCAATTAAACTCGTCCATTCACTTGGCGAGTGATATCGTTTCATGTCTCTATTTTGCCTGCAGAGAAGGGGTAGGGCTGGCCGAGTTCAGCCAGGTGAGTGCTACCACCTGTATCCGCAATGTGTTTATGAAGCTTTTTCCGAGTATCAGCTTCCTGAACTCCTAAGAACTCCCCTGAATTCTCTATGCTTACAAATTAAAAGCCTACAAGTTGAAAGCATTGGAGATTTTCTTTCTGCTGCACTTCAGCCGCCCAAACCATTGGCCGTAAGGAATTATTTTTTTTCTTGCAATTGTATTCTGAATAATCACTTTATAAGTGTTGGGATTTTTCTTCTTACTAGGCAACATTTGTGACGTCTCGAAAGTGAAACATTCTACCATAAGAACTTGTGAAATCTGAATATGGCATTCCAGTTTTCTTTTGCCTTTCCTTCTCTTTGGTCTGTATATAATATATTCCTCAGTACTTAGGTGGAAATGCTATTTTTCCAAAGCAAAGTTGACTGCATTTCTCGTTGAAATGATATTGTCTCATTTCTTATTTCTTTCCTTCTGCAAGACGTGAACTATCTCTTGATTATTCACTGGAACATTTCAGGTGCAAAATGCTATTGATTTTTTGAAGATGATTGGTGCATTAGATGGTGATGAGAACCTTACACATCTAGGTATGTACGGCAAACACCATAGTTGCTCCTTTCACAAGTACTGATGGTATATGTACCTTTCTATGCTAACTTTCTATCCTCATTCTATCAGGAAAGTTCTTGTCAGTGCTTCCAGTGGATCCTAAGCTAGGGAAAATGCTAATCATGGGTGCTATTTTTCGATGCTTTGACCCTATATTGACAATTGTGGCCGGTCTGAGCGTTAGAGATCCTTTCCTTTTGCCACAAGATAAGAAGGATGTAGGTTTTTGGCAATTATATTTCTTGTTAACACAATTATGTTTCTTGTCAGGAATGTTCTGGTTTCAACTTATTCACTCGTAATTATTTTCTCATTTAATAGTTATTGTTTCGAAGGGTCACTATTTTGCCTCTCTAAGAACAGTTTCGCATTTAATCTTCGAAGTAATGGTCCAGAGATCTGATAGACAATGGAAAATCGTCTCCGCTTATCTAAACTGTTATAATTCATTCAGGTGTACTAAACTCAAAAGAAGTGTGATAGATCTTGATTTTTGGAAAAAAAAAAAAAAAAAAAAAAAAAAAAAAGGCTGAAGTGTTTGAATACTAAAAAAGAGAAAAGAGACGACAAAGTTGTATGATGTTCGTAATGCCACCTTTGTGATTATTATATCTAAAGATGCTGACAATTATTATCTCAGTCCTGCGGAGCTTCACTGTAAACGGTGATAACCGAGCTATTTATCAAGATAACATGAAAATACCATTTTACATCAGAAGTCCAAACATGAAGTTTTACGAGCTTACTCTGTTTGGCACAGTTAGCTGGGTCTGCCAAGTCGAGATTCTCAGCAAAGGATTACAGTGATCACATGGCTCTTGTGCGTGCATATGAAGGCTGGAAAGATGCAGAAAGAGAAGGATCTGCTTACGAGTATTGCTGGAGGAACTTTCTGTCGCTTCAAACTCTTCAAGCTATCCATTCCCTTCGTAAGCAGTTCACCTACATTTTGAGAGATGCTAGATTGCTCGAGGAAGATGGATCAGCTAATAATAAATTGAGTCACAACCAACCGTTGGTTCGTGCAGTTATCTGTTCTGGTCTTTTTCCTGGTATTGCATCTGTATTGGTGAGTCTTATTTGTAGTTTTATTTATTTATTTATTTATTTTTGCTAATGTTTTGCTGAAGTTGCTAAATGAGAAAGGGCTGATGTTTTCTTATCTGCAGCACAGGGAGACATCAATGTCGTTCAAAACTATGGATGATGGGCAGGTTTTGCTCTATGCGGTATGCTTCGAGTGCTTATCCTGTTATCAAGTAATTTTAAAATTTAAAGTGCTAGAAGTTTCAACTGCATAGCTGCTATTGAACAATTGGCCAATTTTTAAATGCAAAAAAAA